CACACACTGTAATAGAATGGGATTCATTTATCAGTGTTCAAACTGTCGGTTTCTCCTAAAGGGTTAGTTCACCCAAAAATGAAAATGAGGCTGTGTTTTACTCACCCCAGAGCCATCCTAGGTGTATATGACTTTCTTCTTTCAGACGAATCTAGTCAGAGTTATATTAAAAATTGTATGTAAGAAAAATATCCATATCCAAAACATAATAATCACTTTAATCTAGCTTGCGCCAACAGTTGTACACGGAAGCAGTTCCAGGCTGATGACGTATGAGTTGCGTTGCGCATGCGCCGGTGAGTCTCGGGAAAACCAACGTTTGTTTACAGGATCAAAGTCAAGCCAGGATCAAAGTCAAGCTGGATATTTTTCTTACAAAAATGCATCGATTCGCTACAGGAGGCCTTTGTTCACCCCCCGGAGCTGTGTGAAACACTTTTTTCTATGGATGGGCACTTTTTATTTAACTTCTTTTGGACTGAAGTACTGCAACACCCGCTGACTGCAATGATAGAGCATTTCTCTCCGACTGGATTCGTCTGAAAGAAGAAAGTCATATACACCTAAGATGCCTCGGGTATGTGTAAAACACAGCCTAATTTTCATTTTTGGGTGAACTAACCCTTTAATACTGAACTTATCTTAGCATGTGACATGATAAAACATTCTGATCTCACCAGTATTCATGTCAATATCTGTGATATTAATGCTGTTGCTCAGAGTCAAAGGCAGGCTGATATTTCTGATGAGATTCCGTAAGTAGTCCACCAGGAACAAGTCAAAGAATCTCACATCAATGTCAATCATGTACTTAGAAGGTAGAACTGCAAGAACAAACAGACGCAGGTTGAGCAGAACAATCAGCATGATTACATTCTTATAATGAAAAAAAAGTAATCTTTCCAGTCATTTCAAATAAGAAATAAATTCTTTCTCAGATATAATATACCACAAAGCCTGAGGTTAAAGTTGAAGTATCTTACTGTTAACATTTCAACAAAACTTCATATAGGCTAATAGACCAGTGGTTCTCAAACTTTTTACAGCGGCGTACCCCCTGGGGCATTTCACATTCTTCTGCGTACCCCCATCTCTTTCACTTAGACCGCAGTCACACCTTTTATATTAAAGGACAATATTTGCCCCGTTAAATTGATTTACAGGTGAATTATTTTACCTTTATAGAGGCAAAGATTTTCTATCCTTATTAATTGTATGTCATGTTTTATGTCATATTCTTAACATTCCATTAAGTGTATTATTAATATAATAAAGCAATTAGTGCTGTCAATTAAAAAAAAATTACTATTTAATCGCACATTTTTCTGAAATTAATCGCGATTAATCCCATCTAACATTAAAGTTTTAAATATACTTTTATATTGCAATAACGCATTCAGTCTTCAAATTAATGTACAAACAACATAAAGACAGTCTGTTTTTTAATATTTGTCATCTTTTTTTATGACTGAAGACCAGTATCAATGATACCAATACTGATTTCTCTATAAAATTGCCCCCCCTCCAATATTTAACCATTGACTATAGCCATTCAACATTACAGTATAATTAAGAGCTATCAATTTTAACATTTATTAGACTTTAAAAAATAACTTCTAATTTAAGTGAACTTAAAACAATCTTCACATAAACCCATTATAATTAATGTCATATTTACCTGTGCCCTTCAGCAGAAATATACAGAAATTGAAATTGAAATTGAAGTTATCAAACACTAAATTTGAAAAAACTCTTTTTTTTTCTTTGTCCTTTGATTAATAGACCTCTCAGCAGCTGGTTATTAGGTTATTTTGGCTGTTATTTCTTTAAGAGCGGCCGCTGCTGAACGTGAGTTGAATCGGGGGTTTTAGATGAGTGAGACAGTG